CACACACACACACACACACACACACACACTCTCACACACACACACACACATACACACAGACACAGACACAGACAGACACACACACACACACACACACACACACACACACACACACACACAGAGAGAGAGAGAGAAACACGCTAATGCTTACACATCCAAAAACAATCACAGCTTATTCTACACCATTCACAGTGCATTGTGGTTTAAGTGTCATTTAGAGGCGGGGGCATCTAAAAACTGGCTATTTTTTTTGCATTTTATGCAAAAAATTTTAGGAAATAACCCTCAGAGACCCAAGCATTGTTATTTCTAATAATGCATTAATTTTTTTCACCCATTCAGGCAAAGTTTGCATGAGGGAAAAATTGTAAAAATGTTAGAAAATTGTATGTGTGTAAAATAGCCATAAATGGGTTTTTCCACTGTATACAATGTATCTATACACTGTATCTAATTTGCATATTAATGTGTTCTTGATGCATCATGTAGTGTAATAATGGGAGAAATAACTGGCAAGATTTTCATAATAATATCTAATATTTCATAGGAATATTGAAATATAATTTCTTTCCCTATTCACTTTTGTGTCTCCCAAAATGTGTAATAAACACGCGTTCAGTCCTGCTGTCCTCTACAATGTCTTTCTGTGATGCGCAGCTGTATTTTCAGCATCATTACTCCAGTCTTCAGCGTCACATGATCTTCAGAAATCAGTATAATATATCCCTAAACATCATGCAAAAACAACATGAGCTCTGATTGGCCGCTTTGAAACGCCTCCTGTCTAAATGGGTGGTTCTTATAGCTCATTATATATTCAGCTCACTCACACACATATAAACACAAGTGTGATAATGTTCACATTGCTGGAGGCACAGCTGAAGTCTTTCGACGGCGGTGAACATCTCTACAGGCTGAGTGATTTCGTTTGAGATGTTCATTTCAATTCAGAGCAGCTCTGAAGATGCGTAATGGATGTGTGTTTACTCTTCCGTCTGGAATGATGGGAGCATCCAGTAATTCACAGAGCGGAAGCGCCGCATGAGTATTTTACAAGCCATTGAGGAAAGCAGACGTAGAAATTAAATATTTATAGATGAAGGCAAACTGATGCTTGGAGCATTATGTTATGGCTTATCAGCACTTACTCATGCTGTGTAACTCACAAACACAGGCTCCGTTCCAAATCCTGGCGAGCACCCTAGATAGTGCTGATCACAGAACAATGATGCCTTACTTGAAAACCAAATGCATTGTGTCAAAAGCTTGGGGTCGGGAAGATTTTTTAATGTTGTTAAGATCTCTTCTGCTCACCAAGGCAGAATTTATTTGATCAAAAATACAGTAAAACTGTGAAATATTTGCACAATTTAAAATAGCTGTTTTCTATGTGAATATGTGTTAAACTGTAATGTATTTCTGTGATGC